TACAGCTAGTCCAGTGTTTGAGATGAACTGTACGAGTTTGTTTGTAACAAAATAAATTAGTCTGAGAAATCTAACAATACAGAAAAACCTACTAAATAGCGGGCTAATTTCTTCTTCTACGTATTAGAAAAAGTTCCATCCAAGGACCTACTTATTTTTCCTTTTAATTAGAGAAAGTTGTTAAAGTGGCTCACTACCGCTGCTCGTGGTGAGAAAATGTATTGCAACTCCGTCAATAGAAAAACAATGACATCAGGTTCTCTGCCTCTTTAAAGGCATTCATGGTCACTTAACAAGATTTAGAAAAGGTAAAAATGTGCCTAAATCTCAAATACTATCTCTGATTTCTATTTGAGAGGTTTCTCTGAGGAGATAAATGTGTCTTTTTTTTTTTTTCAGATTTGTCATTTAGCTCCATTAAGCTGGCCCCACTTAGGCTAACAGCTGAGATTAATTTCAATGAATTTATTGGAATTCCAAGATGATCTTTGCCAACTTTCAACAGCTCCTTAATTAATCCCTAACTAGCACGCATAATTAATTGATTTACATGCCCCCCTCCCACAGGGCCTCCCTGCTGGGGGGAGTTAATTGTCAGGTTGGACGATTCGCCTCCAGAGAGTTTGTGAAGTGAATTACAATTAGTTCAACTTTTTTCCTTCTTCTGTGTTAACAGCTTAATGCCTCCACTAAAAGAACTTATTAAAGGAGCAGATCTTTGTTAAGGAGCACTTTTTGTTTTCTTYAAATAAATGATTTAGGGGAAATAATGCTGCTTTTGTCTTGAAAAATAAGTTGTATAATCTTAAAAAATACATAATTTTTTAGGGGCAGGGTGCCAAATCTAATGTTTGTTGAAGATTTTCTTTTGGTTGATCCCTTCTGCAGAGGTCACCAGTGAACATAAAAGAAAAAGTTGGTAATTAATTTACTTCCTGACGCATCCTGGGCTCCAATCGTAGCCTCAGGATCATGACAGCAGGACTGACCACCTATATTTGTGTTTTCTTGGCCTTTTTCCCATCTGACAAATAAGGAGTTTGATAAAATATGTTTGAGGGTGGGCCATCTTTAGATGTATACTCCTGTCCTCGATAAACTCAATTTGATTTTTCCTCCTCAGGCTAAAGAACCAGAAAAACTGGCTCAATATATTTCTCTTTCTTCCAAGCATTTCCCCAGAGTCCTGGAGACGGGATGGAAAAACGAAAACCTTGGTCAAAAGATGCAGCACTTCTTTCTTTAATATCATGTTCATTTCAATGTCATTTCAGAAGGAAATGTTTTGTGTCTTTCACTTTTTCCTGAAAGCATATTTTGCACTTTTTTTCATTTAAGACAGAACTCCTTCTCTCACAGGGCCTTGCAAAGCTAAATAATTTAAAAGTGTCTAATTATCAGCTTCACCCCTGTGAGGGCCGGGCGCCTTAAAACTCGCCCGAGAAGTCCTCGCTCTCCTGCCTCCTCAACTCTGCAGCTGAATCTGACTTTCTGCTAATTAATGAGCTGAGTTCATTACAGCTCCTGAGGTTAATGTGTTGTCCTACAGCAGATTAGTGCAGGGATTTTTAGTCTTGCTGGAGCGTCCTAATTAGATCACAGTGGGTGCTACCTGCTTGGATAGATGTGGTAATGAAGTCGTCGCTCTTCTCAGCGGCAACTTGATTACTGCAGCCTTCCTCTGCTCATAAAAGCCTCTGCCCTCACCTGGAACAGGACACAATGAAACATTTTCAATTAAACGCGCCAGTAAAACAGCTTCTGTTTGAAGTTTGACTCTGAAGAGCTCACTGGAAACACTGGTGGGGCTAAAGTGCCACCTAGAGGACACATGTGGTACTGCAGGCATTTCAGTGGGGTCCAATCACAGACTCAGCCATGAAGAGTAGAGTACTTTAGTGTTTCCCAAAGTTGGGGTCGGGACCCAAAGTGGGGTCCCGAAACATCAAGGTGGGGTCCTGAAAAGAGTTTCTGATTTAATTACATTTTTGCCTTAGTTTTTACAATGGAGTGAGGTTAGTGTATTTAAAATGGTTTCATGTAGTATAAAAATATTGTTACTAAGCCCATGTTTAGTTGACCTGATACAAATGTTTATCATCCAAAAATAGCTGGGGGCTCAGGTCTCTGCTACTGTTATTTTGTGGGTCAAAAGCTGAAAAGTTTGGGAACCGTTGGGCTTGGGACCCAATTATGGGTCATGAAGCACCTTGGATAATCTCCAAAAATCAATTTAAAGGGTAATAAAATAATTGCTAATGTAATATTTTCCCTATAACTATTACAAAAACACACAAAAATTATAAATAAGTATTTGTATTTGTGTACAAGCTGTTTAGATTGTCAAAAAGCCTGTGTTTTTAGGGTTATTAACGAAGTTTGTGTTCTCAAACCAGTAATATTTGGGGTCACATGGTTTTTGCCATGGATATTTTTTGGGTCATAAGATAAAAAGTTTGGGAACCACTGCTTTATATGATATCTGTGCTACAGACTGGTGTCAAGTTAGCGTTAGCATCCACTGTTAGCATCGGTGAGAACATGAAGAATCAAAAATGGCGTCCAAAACAGGCCACAGCCAACAAAGCATTTATTTCTTTAACATCAACTGAAACGGTTAGAAAATATTCGAAACATTTTTAAAACAAATTAAAATCATTCATTCAATAATCATATAAAACATCTAGGTRAGGAAAACCGATCATTTCTGACTTTATAATAATAAGTATAGTTATTGTTTTTATTGTCATAAGTAAAATGAGGATGGATTCCGCCCTAGAGAATTTAAAATTGTAATAATCCTTCAGAATCATTTTGACTGTCATGATTTTTATCCATAAAAACTTGAAATGCTCTTTCTACTGGCCTCCCCCTTCTTCAGTGGAAAGTACCACAAAGTAATACTTCAGTAAAAGTACAAGTATCTTACCAAAAAATTACTTTGGTAAAAGTTAAAGTCTCCTTTAGGAATATTACTTGAGTAAAAGTCTTAAAGTATGTGATATTTGTTGTAGTTAAGTATTAAAAGTCCAAGTATAGATTTAAAATGAGCAGTTAGATTTTCTGTAAGGACATTTATTAGGAGGTGACCTCCCCAAAAACTGCAGAAATGACTGTTGTATTAAAATAATTATGTTAAATTTAGGATGCACTAGTCCAGCTGTTTCAGTTTATATACATATATCAAGGCTGCACAAAGCTTTTCCCCAAAATGAAAATCTATCTGAGGGCTGMGGCCAAATGTAATAATATAATTCATGAAATACAAATACTTCTTAAGTACAGTCCTTTTATTTTAGTGATTCTGTCCTGCTGGGCCCCGTTTCATACAGCAGCGTCTGACCTCCATGTCCAATAAACTGCAGTAAACTCAGTTTAGTGTTTCATCAGAGGGTGATGATGATGAAGAAAGTTTGCCTGCCACATAGAGGGAGCAGACACAGGTGCATGAGGTGTTCCAGTTTAAAGTTTGTTTTACTTTTCATAGTGAATCAGAATAATTGTTAACTTTTCACAAAAAGAGCTGTGATGGACGATCAGCTGAAAGAGGCTCCGTTTACCTCTGGAGTTCAACTCTCTTCTGTTAAATTCACTCTATAGGAGGCACAGTTTATATGGACAGTATTTATTTATAAAAACAAGCTGCAATGAAAACAAGCAAAAATGAAATAAAAGTAACGACTTTCTACTTCTTGCCGTTTTAAAAAACGTAAGAAGTAGAAGTAAAAAGTAGACTGAAAAATATTTACTCAAGTACAGATACCCAAAAATTCTACTTAAGTACAGTAACAAAGTATTTGTACTTCGTTACTTTACAACTCTGCTCTTTATTAAACATGGATTATAAATAATCTAAAACCTTAGAATTAGTCATAAATAATCAGCTCATCAACAGACTCATAGGTTGTTCAGTGTAAAACACTTTAAACTGAAGCTTGTTGTGTCAGGAGCTGAAAAAGCATTTGATTGGCTGGAATGATCAGATTTATTCAAGGTCCAGGAAAAAATTGGATTCATCAATTCTTTTATTAATTAAAAAAGTTTAATACCAACCAAAAGCAAAACCACCTACTAAAGGTCTCGTGTGTCTCCTGTCAGGTCGAGGGACAGGGTTGATCCCTTTGGACTCTTCATATTTCCTGAAGCCCTGGCAGAAACAATTAGACAAAATTCAGATTTAAAAGGCTTTGAGGTTGATCAAATAAACCATAAAGATGATGTCATTATATTTAACAGAGCCTGGGGTCAGGTTTGTCTAACAGAAACCTAAAGTTTTAGACAAGTGGTTCAGAACGTCCGTACCTACAGCCAATTCTTTTTTTTGTTGTTGTTGCAACAAATAACTTCATCCTAAATAAGATGTTTCTTAAAATAATGTCACATGAGTAAATGTTCACATGCAGCTGCTGTGAAACGTCCTTCCTGACATCTTTATTGGGATTAGTGCATCGTGTGTCCCTCCACAGGATTAATGGGAAAATATTCTCCTAATTCTCATTTATCTCCTCTGCTTCTTTCAGAGACGTTCTTTAACTTAATATTCTCAAAGTCATCCTGGATGTTTGCTGKTGGGGTGTAATATTTTCCTCTTAACCAGAGGACGAGTGGATCAGGGCTCATTTTGGAAGCTTAAACAGAGAAACGATGTGACCAGCGTCAGAGCGGAAGGATTAATGCAAAGCAGACAAAAGGACAATTTGGATTTGTACTCTCTAAATGAAGAAATCCTACAGAACAATGAGACAAATAATAGCTGCAGAATGTGTTTGATACAATTAGACATGTCGAACAAGACTGAGTGTAAAATGACTGATTTCATAGCTAAGATTAATTTAAAACATGCAGGGGTTCAATAAACTCCACCTCTAATGTCAGAAAATGTCTTTAACTTAGTGGAACTGATCAAATTTAGGGAATTACAAATACATTTAATTAGATTAACGTTTCATACAAATAGAAACAGAGAACCGGACATGAACGACAGCTTTAATATCTACGCATTTTATTTTCCTACATATTTATTAGCAGGAAAAAATTCCAACGGCCATCGCACTTTATAAACATCCACATTTGGTCACAAACATAAAAAAATAACTCTTATTCAAGTTTAATTTAATTCTTTTTATATTAAATCACACTGAGCTCACCACATACAGATTTAGGATTTTCACAGCAAACATTTAAGGACATAAAGAAAATCTCAGATTTCCTTCAAAGCACCGATTGGTCAGTTAAAAAAAAAAAAACTTAAATGTTTTTCCAAACTGTGGTTATTTAAATATCCATCTATAACAGGTGAGATACTGATTGTTCATAACCTTATTTTGAGGAACCATGTCAGTCCATGTTGTCCCTTTAAATCCAGAAATGAGAATAAAATATAACGTCCACTAATCCAGTCTTTTTATCTGCCAAGTTAAAGCTGAAAAACTTTTCATCATCTTTAAAAGTTTGATCCACTGCTGGCAGACTGAACCCAACAGGTGTGTTTGTGAGTTCTGATCTTCCTTCTGAGGGGATCTGAATATTTCCTGCAGAGCGAGGCTCACATCAGCTAAAGGTTAGCGTAATATCGGTCCCTGTTCATGTAGTCCCTGTAGGCGAACTCGGCGTCCTTCCTGCTGTGCGGGATCCGTCCGAAAGGAGCGTGATCGTTGAAGCACGAGTCRAAGACCTCGTCCACGATCTTCCTCGCCTCCTCTCGGCTGATTTTTCGAACCGCGAGGATGGAGCGCAGGGCGCGGTCCCGGACGCACTCCTGTTCGAAGAGAAGCAAACAGAGGGAGCTGAAAAGTGCCCYGAAGACTCCCGAGTTCCTCCTCGTTTCATTGGAATACCTGGTGATGCTGCTTCAGGCCGAAGTTGAACCTGCTGAGCTCGTTGCTAAAGCTGCAGTCTCCGCTCAGGTTAGCTGCTCGGATCTAAAGGAAACGACCAAATGAGAGGATTTTAAGTTGTTGTTTTTTTTTTTAATTAAAATAAGACAAAACATTTGTTTAGGAGATGTGAAAGTGCTGCTCGCCTCAGAACAGGCCAGGTGTCTGAAGTTGTTGAACCAGTCCACGTGGGCCCGGCAGTGGTCGAAGGCATGGATGAGCTCGTGGGTCACCACCCGGTTCATGTGAGACTGCTGCTGGATGTTGTTCTGACACAAAACGATCTGAGAAAACAAACAACACAACAAACACAACTCTTCACCCAGATCGAGAAGCTGAAACGGAACCGTTCCAGCTAAAAGAAGAACACCAGCTAAAAAAACAAACACTAGCTAAAAGCTAAAGTGTTAAAAGGCTTGCTCAGAGGTGCAAAGATGGAAAATGCTAGCTGAAAACTCACAGTAGCAAAAGGCAAGCTAGCAAGAGGTAACAAGAGCAAACTAAAAGAGAAAAGTAGCTAAAGTCTTCAGTGGTGGGCAGCACTTATCCAAAAATTAGCTCCACAATTTCTAAAGAACTTATGAAAATATTTAGGTCCGCAACTTCAAAAGCACATATGCCATTGAAAAACTAGCAGAAGCTAATTTTAAAGCGCAAGTTCAATTTGACACTTACTAGCTGACAATTCATGTACAATATATGCACAACACTGCCAACTAGTGGTGTATGAACCCTTGTACAGCTTAATCCTACAACCGTCGATTGCTGGGGATGTGATTTCCTGAAACAGAMCTTTGGCTCCTGGTGTAAAAATTAAAAAGTTGTTGAGGATTGCTAGTTCGGCTGCTTCTTTGTCTTTTKCTTTTGTTTGTTGTAGATTTTTCATAAAAGAAGCATCAATAAAGTAATTTTAAAACTGTTTATTGGAAAACTGAAGCGATGCAGTCTGGGTACATAACGGACTGACGGGAAACTAGTATCGTCCCTTCAAAATAAGAGCTTGGATTTTAAAGTTTTTCATGTTTCCATTGGATTTTAAAGTTTCCCAGTTCACCTGAAACTCATCAGACTGAAGAAGTCTCTTGGAGGAGACATGAAACGTTTCACTAAAGAACTCATCCAGAGGACCTACTTATTTTTTCTTTTTGATTTTTTCTACCTGGATCAGGACGTTTTCCATGTAGTTGCCCCAGTTGACCACTAAATGTCAGTCTTCACCAGCATAACATCTTTAAATAATTTCTGAGTCTCTAACACTTAGCCAATTGCTTTTGAGCTCCAGCGTTTAAACTTTTTTTTTAAAAAGGGAGCTTCAATTGTAAAGTAAAATAAATCAATACATACAAAATTTTAGTATGGATTACAAACGTTAACTGTTTTTGCTATTGCCTTCYTGCTACGTAAGCAGACACAAAGCATTGTGGGAAATGAGAACCATGGCTCAAAGCAACAGTCAGTAAGGATGTTTACCTTTCAATAAGTGTGTTTATCTGGGAGGGGTGCTGTTGGATAGATCATGTGTTGTGATTCATTGACAGTCATACCTTCTGCTGTCCAACATAATGATGACTGATAGATAATTAGTTATTAGCGGTACTGCATTTTAATCTTAGAAAGCGCGAATCCGCTTATGAACTATAAAAATTATTAAGTCCGCTAAAGCGCAAATGAAATATTTAGGTCCGCAAGTTTGCGCTTTAGCGGGCTCGTGCCCACCACTGGTAAAATCCTAGCGTGAATGCTGACTCAGCAATCTCCCTCTGCTCTCTAAAAGCAYGTCTCACCTGAGAGGAGGTGGCATCGAAGCCCCCGCTGACCGTCCCGTCGCAGTCTTCACAGGAGAAGTGTCGGTCGTTAAACACGCTGCTGYGTAAAGAAGAAACCAGCCTGAGTTCTGGGAGATTTTTTTTTCTTCAACAGCAGAAAACTTTGCTTCATGTCAGCAGTTTAAAACCTCGTGACCCGAGGTTTGATAAAACTTTTATTCTGCTCGACTTTATCTTTTGAAATAAAAGCTGCTTGGAGAAAAGAAAAAAAAGCTTTGTTCTAATATGAAAATACTTGTAATCTCTGAAGCACGGTGGGGGAAGGATCATGGTTTGGGTCTTTGTTTCTACATTTGGACCAAACAGTAACTGATGAACTCTAAAAAAGTGCTTTATGTACTTTTGAAAACACAATAAAATAGAAAAAAWAGCTAAAAGCTAATAGAAACAAAGATCTAGTTGAATAATAAAGTTGCAGAACAGTTACTAGAAACTACAAGTAACAAAAGGTTTACTAACCACTAAAAGTAGCAGAACAGTAGCCAAAAGCTACAAGTGTTGAAAGGCTAGCAAGCAGCACCAAGTTTCTAACGACTTTCTAAAAGGTAGCAAAATGTTGGCCAAAATCAAACAGTGACAAAAGCCTATGTAAAACCTAAAGGTAGAATATCAGCTGCTAAAAACTACAAGTAACAAAGGTTGGCTAAAGGCTAAAAGTAGCAAAAGGCTAGCCAAAAGTTAAAAGCATTAAAAGGCTAGCTAGACACAAAGTATCAAATGACTTTCTAAAAGCTGCAAAATGTTGGCTAAAATCAACAAGTGACAAGAGGCCAGGTAAAACCTAAAGGTAGCACAACAGTAGCAAGGAGCTAAAAGTAACAAAAGGTTGACTAAAGGCTAAAAGTAGAAGAACAGTAGCTAAAAGCTAAAAGTATAAAAGGCTAGTAAGAAGCACTAAATATCAAAAGGTTTTCTAAAAGTAGCAAAATGTTGGCTAAGTCAAAACATTACAAAAGGCCTGGTAAAACCTAAAGGCAGTACAACAGTAGCTAGAAGCTAAAAGTATCAAAAGTTTGGCTAAAGGCTAAAAGTATCAAAAGGCTAGCCAAAAGTTAAAAGTGTAAAATCAAATGCATTTTCTTAAAGCTGCAAAATGTTGACTCAAAACAAAAAGTGTCAAGGGGCCAGGTAGAACCTAAAGGCAGAGCAACAGTAGCTAGAAGCTAAAAGTAACAAAAGGTTGGCTAAAGACTAAAAGTAGCAGAACAGTAGCCAAAAGCTAAAGGTTTTCAGAGGCTTGCTAGAAGGGCGAAGTATGAAAAAGTTTTCTAAAATCTGCAAAATGTTGGCTAAAATCAAAACATGACAAAAGATCAGGTAAGGTAGCTCAACAGTAGCAAGGAGCTACAAGTAACAATAATTGGCTAAAGGCTAAAATTAGCAAAGTCTAGACTAAGACGTATGCATTATTACATTAACAATGACAGTGTTATACTGMATGCACTGTTTAAAYTGTCAGAAGGAACAGGTGTAATTARTAAGTGKTAAATCCTCACCATCCTGAGCTCTTCATGGCACTGAGGAGGACTTTGGCATATGGACCTGCAAAACATGACAGCAGTTAGCTTCACCTCTCTGTATGCTACATCAGCCAACACAGAGCTGGCCTGTGTTTGAAACATTACTGCACAGACACACGTATAAAAACATCTCTGAGGTGTCCTCAGACTAACGCGTTCCTCTGACTTTCCCTAAAACTTAATACGGCTAAGCTAGCATCAATACTCACTGTTTTCCACTGCCAAGTGTAGCATGTTCCGACACTTGTAGTTCTTTGTCACCGGACTGTCTCTCATTGATTGGTTCTTGTTTTGATCCGTGTTCCTCTCCGTGATTAACCCATACCCATAATCCGCGTTTAGCTCAGTTCGGTCCATGGTRCTGATGTTAGCCCACCTGTTTTGTTAACGCTAGCAGCAGCACAGGTCGTTGCTGTTTTGGGTTTGATGGTCACGTGGTACACCATAGAAGCATAACATTTACCATAACATTTAATTTAAATCGAATCGTCCATACAGAAAAATAAAACTTTAGTCACAAACCATCTAATTGTACATTTTAAAGCAACGAAATACAGTTTTTTCCCCTTGAAGCAGTTTGAAGTCTAGCATAGACGATCTTTTATTTCTGTGCTCAGACAGGATGTTCACTCTTACAGAAATATGTGAACCCAAATCATAAACACCAAATACCATTTGCAAGTCATTTTTATCTTCCATAAAATTGAAATTGTGCAATCATTACTCATTTAGTTACACTTAAAATTAAGAATAAATTTAAACTTATTAGAAGTTGACTGATACATTTCTGATTTTGTCGTTGGGTGTGTACGTGTTAGTTCGGAGGTAAATTTGTAAACCTATATATGTGAAACACTAAACACGCGTACTTCTGTTATTAGTTAGATTAAGCTGAACTAAAATATTTCAATTTGTAACATGAAAAGGCGTTTTATTAGACAAAAATGAGGTTTTCGGAGGAGCATCTTCTTGGTGTAGACGATCTTTGTTTACGTCACAGACGCAAAGACTGCTGGTACTACGCTGTCATGGCTCCGAACGTAAACAGAAAGCTRTGAACTACGATTATTTTTGTTGTAGCGTTTTGTCAAACTTTATTCATTTATAACCTAGGAAAGAAGAGAGAGGTATTTAATCAAGTTTTAAGTAACAATATGTTTAATTTTAAAAATTAACTTCGCAGCGTTGTTTGCTAACATGTTAGCTAAGCTAGCTGCGCGAGCGTGACTTATAAGAGTACACGAGGCGAAGAATCTGTCCCAAACAAATGTTTGTTTTGCAGGATGAGCTAGCATGTCCGGGGTAAGCAAGGCCGTTGAGTTCCAGCTTCAGGTGAAACAAAACTCGGAGGATCTGCAGAGCTTCATGAAGGAGCTGGAAAGCTGGGAGAAAGACATGAAGAAGAAAGATGAGGAGCTGAGGACGGGGGGAGTCCAAGAGGTTTGTCCCTGGCTGATTCTGCAGGAAATACATTTTAAGACCCGTGGAGCACAAGAGTTATTCTTCTTTGTGTCTGTTACAGAAAACACTCCCACCTGTGCGCAACAAAGACTACAAAACAAAGAAAAGGGAAAAGAGAAAGAAGAAGAAGGAGCCTGGAGATTGTGACAAATCAGAGGAGTCTAACAGGGACCCTAGGCTGAAATCATACGACTATCGTTCATGGGACAAGTTTGATGTGGTATTAAATGGTTTACCTCATAATTTAGTCTTAGCTTYATTGATAAAACAAAGAGTCAGGTTGTATTTTCTCGCAGGATAAAGCTCTAGCAGAAATCGACAAGGAGGACTGTCTCGCTGATTCAAACGAGTCGGACTCAGAGGACAACGCAGCTGATCAGGAGAAAGCTCTGGCTGAGAAGGAACAGGTAAATCACTTTTAAAAAGAAGCAGGGATCCATTAATGCCAGCTGTTCAATCTAAACTAAAGAATGCTCGTTTCTTTCAGGGTAACAAGTTCTTCAAAGATGGGAGGTACGAYGACGCCATCGAGTGTTACACCAGAGGGATGGCTGCAGATCCGTACAACCCTGTTCTCCCCACAAACAGAGCCACGGCCTTCTTCAGGCTGAAAAAGTATGAAAACAAAAACAGGATTGTGTCTAATTGTTTACAAAAACTTTTGTTACAACACCATCGAGGTGGAGTTTCCCGAAGGGTCAAACAAGCTTTCAGAACAACAGAAAGGGTTTTTTATTTTGTGTTTTCAAGTAACTTTTTAACAAAATTCATGCTGCTTTGATCCCTCTGCACACATTTTTTTCTCCATCAAATTTAAAAGGCTTACTAAAGTAGCATAGAAGCTAGTAGTCATAATAAACTAGCTGGAGGCTAAAGATAGCAAAAGACATTCAGAAAGTAGCATAGGATAAGTTAATAGCCATAATAAACTAGCTAGAGGCTAAAGGTAACAAAAGGTGTATAAAAGTAGCATAGGAAAAGCTAATAATCATAATAAAATAGCTAGAGGCTAAAGGTAGCAAAAGGCATATAAAAGTAGCATAGAAAAAGCTAATATCCATAATAAACTAGCTAGAGGATAAAGGTAGCAAAAGGCATATAAAAGTAGCATAGGAAAAGCTAATATCCATAAT